CCAGACAAGGTATATATGTCTTTGTTTCATTAAGAAATTGTTCAACATAATCTCTATGTGCATATGCGACATCAAGTATAGTCAGATGGGGGTATTCAATAATTGAGTGTAATTGACAATTGTCAGATGAAAATGTCATAAGACCATCTAAACCTTGTGATTCTCTATTAAAAATACGTAAGCATTTAAGTAATGGAAATGATCGGGCAATTCGAATGAAGAATTCATGTTTGAATGGATTAATATCTTCTACAAGTAAAAACGCAACGTAACTGAATACAATATTTGGAAATTTATTGCCCAGATTTTTGAGATGATCAAATTCAAAAGGAAGTGAGAAAATCGAGCATACAGCTATCCCATCTTGAATATAATTGACTATACTCGTAACTTGTTGTTGTCCAATATTTGTTAATGTTTGTTGAATATCTTCACTAGATAACTTGTAGGATAAATCAACCGTTTCCACATAAGTACAAATATAGAAAGTAAATGAATGAAGTTGTGGCATATAATCCAAAATATCATGTTGAACGTTAGTACCATCAATGACTCTATTTCGACCTTTTATAGGAAGATATAAAGTTAATTTTTCCAGATATGACATACGATGAAGAAGTGATATAATTTTATCATATTGTTCAAATCGAAAGAACGATTTTAATGAGAAACATTTTAGATTAAATAATTTATCCTACAAAAAGAAAGAAATGCTTTTTTTTATCATCTGTAAGTCATACGCATTGTTATTTTACACATGGTGTATGATCTATATTCTATCCATTAATGACTACAAATGACAAATCTATCAGTTTGATTTTCTCATTTTACAGCATAATAAATGTGTTCAAAGAATAATTAAAGTTTCAGACAAACTTCCAATCATATCTCAATTATTGGAAAAATTGTTATTGTAGAAACTTTCATTCCATTCTATACTGATGATCATTGACATATAATAATATTTATATCAATCATGAAACAAACCAGTCTAGTTTTCAATGAGAAAATTATCCGATAAAATATTATATAATTATAATTTCTATCAACAAATTTTACTGATTGTTTTATTAAATTCAACTGCCTAATGAATACAAATTTAATGTCGATGATTTTGATGTTCATCAACACTTATCAGTTTTTCCCTTGTCAACATGAAACTTAACCATTCGATCTCTAATTTGAATTCTTTGAGATCAATCGTTAACTGCATTAAAATACTAATAATCTTTATGTCATAAACTTATTTGTAGAAACTTACCATATTGTGAACAATTCTTGAATACTCGTCTATAGAATAGACGGTAACACACAATGTTGTCAATTTTCTAAGTCGGCCATCAAGTAAATAAAGACAGTCATCAAAAGTTTTCACATTGATATATAAATGAGTAAGAATCGGAGATGAAAAAGTAGTCGATGGCAAACCACAAAGTGATAAACCTGGATACATGGATATAGAAGACGGTCCCATGATACTTAATTCTTTTAAATTTTTGAAGAAGGTCAAGATATGACTATATACGTTTGTAGTATAATTTCTTAATGAAGGTATTGTTATGTCTTTCTCTTTATTGATAAGACTAAGGTTTGTAATTTGTTCTTGGAAAACAGATCGAAGTGATGATTCATCTAAAGGAGAAAAGAAAGAAATAAAACTTGTAGTCTATTCTATCTAACACTTTTATTATTTCTCAACTAATCAAATTCATATTAAATGCTTACTTGTAAAATGTTTTAAAGCGATATATTCGTCGAAATC